AATATTAATTTATTTGTTTGTTGTCTTAAACCAATTGACGACTTTCTTAGAACTTTAGTAGTATAGTCCTGGGCATATCTGAACATTCGAATTCTAAAGTAATATTCACATATCTTTCTAACAAGCTGGCTGGAATGCAAATCTTCATTTTCAGTCCACAATTCTATGTCTTGACTATCAAGTCCTTTAAAGACTTTTTTTTTAATAATTAATTTGTTAACACAATGGATCATCTTATGCTTTATATTTTTATCTGAGGTTATTCTCGGATTTTTAAAATCTTTACCACTAATAAAGAAGTTAAATACTTTCTCACACATCTCTACAACAAAAACAACATCCCTTGATGGCAAAAACAAACCACCACGATCTTTCACATTATTTAACGAAGAATGAGATTTCGCATAGGAATGTTCGTATGATAAAATATCAGTTAATGATTGAGCACAAACATTACATAAAATAGTATTTATCAAGTTTCTGACTATAAAATCAGAGATATATCCCAATATTGCTTCTTTGTAGCTAGACATTTGAAGTTCATCGCAGTACAAAAACACTTCTTTAAATTCAATATCCTCTTGGTCAAAATTATCAACAGAACACAACCTTTTTTTCCAACTACGAGAAAAAATAGAGCCATTAGAATATGGCTCAAACATTAGACAGTTATCATGACTCGATCCAGCAATGGAGTTTCGCAGAAGAATCCATTTTAACGATGATTTTAACTGCACTACATCAAGATTGTTGTTGTAACCATTTTTTCCACGAATGCAAGCAAATAGTAGTTCAAGATGATCTTGGGAATATTTGTAAGTTAGAACATACTTAAATGGTTTCTCATGAAGTGTTAACAGATCGAAGGATAATTTTAGCATCTATAATTAAACCTAAAACAAATGTAACATTTGTTTTAGGTTTAATTATAGAGTGCTTTTAGCATCTATAATTAAACCTAAAACAAATGTCTTTCTTCGATGTAAAAGCAATGGAATGCTATTAATATCAGTCAACTTGCTCAGATAAGAAATCGTAGTGTTTAAAAAATCTTTCCAATAAAGCTGATTATTTAGATATAGAGGTTTCTTAAAGTGTTTACCATTTGGATTTCTGGAACTGAGCATGCCAAATAATTTATCAATAACTCTTATAAAACGGATTGTACTACTTGCTCCTAAGAAAGATGGATGCTACGATACCATTAAAAATTCAATTACATCAGTAACAGAGCTGCTAAGTGTTTAGCCAGCTATTTTGACATTTATTTTGTGGCAATGAAATTCAATATGTTTTCTTGAAAGTTTGTTTGCAAATTTTAAACCTTCAAGCTCTTGTAACTCAAACAAAGCTTTAATATAACTCCATTTAATATAGCAGCCCTCGTCATCAATAAAAACACCCATATCATTTAGAGAATTTCTAGCTAATTTATATGGCATATGGCATGGGTCCAGGAAAATGTGGAGCAGTTGGTTGTTATATAAAAAAGTACTAACTATATCGTCTATGACATTGCCAAACTTACATCCAAATGGGACAACAGAATTTAAATTTGTACTAGTACCATCAAATGTAATACTTTTGATACAAAGTTTATATGTCAAAGCCACATCTAAAATATTTTTGATAAAACATGTTAAATCACTTGCTTTAACTTTATTTGATAAAACATAACCAATGGGTGTTTTCCAATGTCCTCGCAAACCAACTAACATGAAAATTAATGCCTCTGTAGCTGGAGTATCAGGTTCACATACAGAAATATCTTTACCAAAATCACAAAAACCGATATAGTGACCTGAACTTTTGTCATAAATTATACTGTTTTTGATTGCCATAGCATCAATAATAAGAGCACAATGCTTAAAATTAATATCTGTTTTCTGTTTATCACCAAGATATGAAAAAACATCAAGGAATAAACCTGGATCACAATTTACAGATGATGTCTAATGCGATATTGAACTGGCAGCAGGAAGACATAACATTGGCCCAAGAAAGTTATACGCATGTGGAGAATAAAAATGAAGAGTTAAAGCGAATTTTTTTACTTCATCATTTTTTTACTTCATCATTGGAAAATTGGTTCTTAATAATTTCATATGAGAGTCCAGAAAAATTTTCGCTTAAAACAGTTCCAGCATCAGTAGTCAAATAATTTTTGGATTTTAAAAGGGAAACCATGTCTTGTAAAGAGCAGATTTTTTTCTCTTTTCTTCTTAATTTTTGTTGTAAAACCTTAAATTTTTTTTTAAATTTTTCTTTTGCTGGTGATAAAGATTTTATAGATTGTGTTGGAGATTGACTAGTGTGGTCATTTTGATCAATAGTGCTTTCTGGCTGATCATTATGTGTTGAATTAATTTCTTTGCTGGGTTTGTCTATAGCAGGGCAAACATCAAACTTTGTTTTTTTCGATAAAGGATCAAATTTAGATAATGAATTTACTGATGTTCGTATTGATGGGAGTTTCCTTTTTGTCTTATGAATATTTGTAGAAAATACAAAAACTGATGGCACAGCCTTACATTTTAAAATAGTCTTATGATAATGATCAAGAATTAGATTTTTTTTGTCTGGGATACAGTAATTGTAGTCTGATTCTAAAAAATGGTCGCTGCAGATACAGGTGTGTTTCGATAGAAGAAAATTTTAATGTTTCATAGCAATAATCCATTTTTTACATAATTCAGAATTTTGAAGAGGAAATTTATGAAAAGATTTCTTGCCACCTTTTATATATCTATTAGAACATCCATATGCAGCACAAGAATTTACCATTTTGTGTTGAAAATAGTTGAATTAAATAAATACTTCAGCAAGGTAAAAGAAATAATATCGCGAATTTACTCTCTATATTATATATGATATTTACTGTGTTTTCTGCCCGATATAATAATGGCTGATTAAAATAGTAAACAAATAAATCGGCTTCACTTTTATCACAGTCATAAGAAATAGATAGTCTGGTCACTCGGGTCGTATTATGTGATTTTTCAAATATTCGTTAAAACGTAGTCTTAAGAAATAGATAGTCTGGTCACTCGGGTCGTGTAATGTGAATCAGTTAAAAGTGCATTTTCTTGCACAATTTGCTTGTTGTGTTTTCTATTTTTGTTATTGAACTATTTGTTTCATTTATGTGTCTATTTTTTTGTATCTTTAGATTAGTACAATTATTGTTAAATAAAGCCTTAATCAAGAGGTCAATCTTTTTATTAGTTCATTACAATTTATTTAACAAACATAAAATTATTGAGAAATGTCAAAGATCTTAAAACCGACGAGGCTTGATCTTGATCATAATGCACCAACTGCTTCAAAAAAATGGAAGCATTGGAAATGAACATTTGAAAATTTTATTGATGCTCCAGACAAATTTCGCTCCATCATTAATTTTGTTTCATCAAATGATTATGATTACATTGAAGAGTGTGATTCCTATGAAAGTGTAATTAAAACCCTAGAAAACTTATATATAAAAACCCCTAATGAAATTTTTGCAAGGCATCAATTACTTGCAAGACATCAAACATCGAGTGAATCCTTAGAAGACTTTTTTCGGGAACGTAAACTCAGTAAAAACTGTAATTACAAGGATGTTTCAGTTGAACAATATCGAGAGGAACAAATAAGAGATGCTTTTATTTCTGGAATAAATTCGAATTACATTCGTCAACGACTTCTTGAAAATTCAACATTGAATTTGCAATCAGCATTTAACCAAGCTCGTTCTCTTGACATTGCTCAAAGAAACTCAGATTCTTATATGCAAAAAACATCCTTCTTTTCCTCCAATTTAAATATTGCTGCCGCTATAAAATTACCAGAAGAACCTTCAGCAGCACTCAATGCTATGACTATTAATCCTCAAACAAAATACATTTATTGTGATAATCAATCTCACAACCAACGTAATCAAACCTCTGCTAGAAAAAATTGTCCAGCTCAAAATGTAACCTGTTTTAAATGTGGAAAAAAAGGTCATTTTTTCAAAGTTTGTTTTGGCAGGCCGATGAATATAACCCACAGTGTTTCAGTTGCAATATATAAACCAAGTTTGTGTACTTTTTCAAGTTGTTGTCCGTTAAGCCTCTCTCATGCAGTTGTTATTGTCAGAATTAATGATGAACCGTTAACTGCACTAATCGATTCCTGTAGCTCAGATAATTTTATAAGCAAGAAAATTATCGAGACTTTAAAAATCAAAACGTTACCTAGTAAAAAGAAAATTGGTCTCACAACAATGGAGTCTAGATTAGTGGGCTGTTGTTCGGTTAATCTTAAAGTAAATGGTTTATTTTATAATAATGTTCAATTTGGTGTCTTAGAAAATCTTTGTAGTGATATCATACTTGGTTACGACTTCCAAAAACTACACAAAAATTTAATATTCCCACTCGGTGGAGAAAAAAAAGCTTCTTCTATAAACATTCTTGGTTATTGCGTTACTCATAACAACATAAAACCAGATTCTGAGCGATTACGTCCTTTAGACTTACTACCTCCTCCTTCTAACATTTTATCACTTCCGCGAACTTTGGGTATGTTTTCTTACTATTCAAAGTGGATACCTTCGTTTGCTAATAAAGTTCGGCCTTTAATTAATGTTAAATCCTTTCCTATCAATAGTGAGGCACTTGAAGCATTTCAATTTCTTAAAAGAGAACTTCATGCTACCACTTTGAGTTCTATTGATGAGAGCTTACCTTTTGTTGTTGAATGTGATGCATCAGATGTAGCCGTATCAGCTACCTTGAATCAAAATGGTCGTCCAGTTGCCTTTATGTCTCGAACATTAGGCAAAAGTGAAATGTGAAATCAATTACCCATCAGTAAAAAAAGAAGCTGTGGCTATTATTAAAGCTGTTCGAAAATGGCGACATTTACTGTAACGGAATCAATTTAAATTAATTACTGATCAGCGTTCTGTAGCTTTTATGCTTGATAACCGAAAGATAACAAAGATTAAAAATAGTAAGATTTAGTGCTGGAGGATGGAGTTAGCAGAGTTTAGTTATACTATATCGTATCGTCCTGGAAGCGATAATGTTGTCCCTGATGCACTCACACGTGCTTTTTGTGCTACAACCCAGTCTCAAACAAACCTAAGTGGTATACATAGCTGTCTATGTCACCCAGGGGTTACTCGTATGCTTCACTTTGTTAAATCTAAAAATTTATCTTTTTCTACAGAAGAGGTCAAGAGAGTTTGTTCTAACTGCCAGATTTGTTCAGAATTAAAACCAAAGTTTTATCGATCCTCAAATGTCTGTGAGTTAATCATGTCAATACGTCCAATGGATCGCCTAAGTATAGATTTTAAAAGACCATTGCCATTTAATTCTAGAAATATCTGTTTACAGTCATTGATGAACATTCTCGGTATCCATTTGCTTTCCCATGTCCTGATATTAGTTCAACAACTGTTGTGAAGTGTTTAGATCAAATATTCTCCTTTTGTGGTTTTCCAAAGTACATTCATTCCGACAGAGGCTTATCTTTCATACCTAATGAATTAAAATCTTACCTTACTCAGTAAGGAATTGCAACAAGTAATTCTGCCCCATGTCATCCTATCAGTAATGGACAAGTTGAGAAATATAATGGCTTCATTACATTGCTCTAAAAAGTGCATATCTCAAAGAGGCCTAACAAGGCATACAAATTCAAAACATCAAAGTATTCCTTTGGATTTAACATTACAAAATTCTAAACCACTTATTCTTCTTAGCGAATTTAAAAATTTACTGGATAAAAGCATTACTACCTTAATTGAAGACGAATGCTATCCTGATTTGTATAGAAACGAGTTGAGGATTAATCATGCAATGCTGTTAGAAACTTCACAACAAACTATATCTGTTTTAGAGACAACAATAGCTGGTTTTAAAGCTAATGGCGATGCAGAAAAATTTTATCCTCAATTTTACAAAAGTATTAATTGTGATAAAGGAATCTTCAATAACATTCTGACTAATAAAACAACTAGACTTCTTGGCTATGAACTATGCAATCATGTTTTAGCGTTTCTTACAAACTCATTTTACAATAATTCTTTTATAAATTTAAATGATTTATCGTCTGTTGAACTTTCAGATAGAGATAAAGAAATTATCTTGTATCTAAGTGGTTATGTAATCAGTACGTTTTATTGCAGAATTTGCAGTTCACGGTTATGGCAGGAAAAGTTAGGCACAGACTGCCTTTCACTTCTTAATGCTGGAAAAATAGAACATTTTGTTAAGAATCCTGAAACATCCAATGAGTCTTACCATAAATTTGTTAATGCTAAAAATCAAGGTGGTTTGTGTCTCCTCCAGTCTTAAAAATCTTTACAAAAGTTGAGGTTCTCTTTCGTCAACAAAGTAATGGTTTTGTAAATAAAATTGATTCAGAACTGATTGTGACCGAAATTTTAAAAAACTGCTTTGTGATGGCAAGCATATCTGAACTTCGTAGCCTTTGCACAAATCAAGTATCCAAAGAACTGTCTTTAAACTTATTTTATCATTTGGTTACACTTTATGTTAGAGTAAGATCTTTTTCATATGCAAAAGAAAAACTAAGTATCCACAAACTTAAAGAGAATCAAACAAAGTCAAAATCACTCCGTTGAAAAATGAAAAAGACATCAATTGGATTGGAATAAATAGTTTAATAGAATATCACATTCAAAAAAGGCTATTTTCATAGCCACAAATTTCATAAAAGCATACTTGGCATAGTAACACAGTTATTTGCCATAAAAAATATTAATTAAAAAAAAAGTTTTTATTTGTTTGTTTCAATAAGAAATAGGTAAAACCCTTAAGACCTTAACCCCAAAAAACCCTTATCAAAATGTAGTACAAAATTATAATAAACACACAGTTCTGAATATATAATAAACAAATATTTTTAGACTAACTTTCTGCTCTGATTCCTGATATAACATATTATTATATATACATATATATATATATATATATATATATATATATATATATATATATATATATATATATATATATATATATATATATATATATACATATATATATATATATATATATATATATATATATATATATATATATATATATAAATATATATATATATATATATATATATATATATATATATATACATATATATATATATATATATATATATATATATATATATATATATATATATATATATATATATATATATATATATATATATATATATATATATATATATATATATATATATATATATATATATATACGTTTATATATATATATATACGTTTATATATATATATATACATTTATATATATACATATATATATATATGTATATATATATATATATATATATATATATATATATATATATATATATATATATATATATATATATATACATTTATATATATACATATATATATATATATATATATATATATATATATATATATATATATATATATACATTTATATATATATATATATATATATATATATATATATATATATATATATATATATATATATATATATATATATATACATTTATATATATACATATATATATATATATATATATATATATATATATATATATATATATATATATATATATATATATATATATATATATACATTTATATATATATATATATATATATATATATATATATATATATTCATTTACATTTATGTACATTTATATATATATATATATATATATATATATATATATATATATATATATATATATATATATATATATATATTAGGCTGTTGACTTTAGGGTAAATTTTTGGTATGTCCAGTCTCCTGTATATAAAATAGATGAACTTTGGTTTTAAAGTATCTGACAAGTCATTGGTTTTATTTATTTTTTGAGATCACCCACCATGACCCTTGATTACACTCTGGGTCCCAGTGAATTTTTTTTTCTTCAAAAGTATACCAACCTGGGTCTCAAAAGAACCAGAATTTTTGTTTAAAAAGAAATTTAAGCAATTTGTTTTTATTTAAATTTATTGCTCTTTTGAGGCCCAGGTTGATATGATAAACTATAAATCTTTTAAATTCTTGTTATACGAAATTTATATATGTTGAACTTGATAAAAATGACTGCATATAAGCTTTTTTGTTTTAAATATCAGTCAGCGAAATATTGTAAATATATAATTATATCGAAATATATTTAAAACAAAAAAGTTTATATGCAGTCATTTTCATGAAATTCAAAATTTTAAATGAAATTAGCACTGAAAATATCAAAATCTAAAAACAAACATTCAAAAGACAATTTGAGTTTATAGTCTTAGAAAAATATTATATTTTTATGGAGAAAAATTCTAGTCCTCTCTTGTGAGATCATATATATAAAGGAGGCTCCAAGCTGAACTGGATCAAGATTAAATTATGACACCATATACCCAATTGAATAGTTGTCAAATAAAAGATTCTGTTAAGGTTTCTTACTTTACAGATAATATGCTCAGAGTAGGCATTGAACCTCAGATCTATTGCATCTAATGCAAGTGATTTAACCATTACACATAAATAGACTTTCCCATGCTCCCAAATAGGGGGTAAGGCTGCAAATTTAGGAGCCTTTTTTCTAATTTTAGAGGATCCTAAACCAAATTTTATGAGCTAGGTGCTTGTTTACATTGTAACAAAAGTAAAACAAACAAAAAAGTAAGTCTGCAAAATAAACTTTTTTATTTATTATTTAAACAAACTCCCGAGAAAAAAAACCCTGCTAATACTACTAGGAATCTGCTTAACTTCCTGCTAATCCTATTAAGTTCCTGCTAATACGGCTAATCCTGGTAAGTTTTCGCTTAATACGGCTAAACCTATTAAGTTTCCTATTAGTCAAATGACGTTTATGAATTTCCTGCTAATCCTAGTAAGTTCCTACTAAGTAGTTACCAGGATTAAACGAATTACTTAGTAAGTTCCTAGTAAGTTTTCAAAAATAAAATAATCGTCTTTGTTATACGCCATCTTTTATTTATTTACACGGAAGACAAGTCAGCCCTTAAACAGCTTTTTTAGATTCAATAGTTTTACTAAATAATATTTGTAATTCTATAGGGAAAAAGCTCAAGAACATCTGGTGATGATTGCGTGGTTTGCAGTTTATTTGATGAATATTCGTTAATGTGTTATAATGTGGTTTTAAATTATAATGTTAATTTTATAATGTTAACTTTAACTCTATATAAATTCTAGTATTTTTTGTTGTATCAATTCGAGCATTTTCTGATTCATAATGATATGTATGGTCATGTGTTTTTTAAACTATATTTTATTTTTCTTTCTAATTTTTTTCTTTTCATTGTTTATGATTTTATATTGTTTAATAAACATAAAATCATACATCGTAAACAATTAAATTGTCACTCTTTCTTTTTACTCTTTCTTTTTTCTAAAAAGAGTAAGTGACTTATTTTTATATATAAAGATAAGTCACTTCTTTTTAGTAAAAAAGAAAGAGTTTTATTTTTAATTTTCTTTAAATTTTATTTATAATTTTATTTAAAAAATCAAATTTTAATGTCAAAAAATTCACTAACTTCAAGCCTGACTAAAAGTTTTAGTCAAACTTAAAGTTTTTCCCTTTTAGTCAGACTAAAAGGGAGTAAACCATTTGATATTAAAAATCAATCTTGAAATTACCATTATATATATATATATATATATATATATATATATATATATATATATATATATATATATATATATATATATATATATATATATATATATATATATATATATATATATATATATATATATATATATATATATATATATATATATATATATATATATATATATATAAAATAATAGACTCCATAAAATTACCACATTTTTTTTGTCGGAAGCTAAAAAATATGAATAATGAACTTGTTAAGTGGAAAGCTCAAGTGCACAAGTATTTTCTATTGTATTATGTGTTATTGTGTTTTACAAACTTGGTAATGCTAAAATTTGTTCTCTTTTTTTAATGCTTTCAACGTCTATTTATACATTATCCAATGAAATTGTTTCATCAAATGATATTGATGCTTGTCAACAACTAATATATTTATTTCAAAAGGCATTATGCTCCTATTTTGGTGAAGGTATTCGCACATTCACTTTCCATGCATTAGCACATCTCTTTAAACAGGTAAAAAATTTTGGACATCTTACAGCAATGCCAGCTCTGGTGTTTGAAAATGCAAATCGCCAACTAAAGAGGTTTGTTACAGGAACTAAAGGCCATGGAAGACAAATGGCTGAAAAATTTATTAGATTTCAGACGGAAGACCACTTAAATACTTTTTCTTTGAATCCTTTTGTGTTAGGTGCAACACAAAATGTATCAGATAAGTTGCGGAATATGGATTTGAATGATTTAAATATTGACCTAAATCTTTATCAGTTTTATAACCGTTTTAGAGTTGCTGATAGAGCTTTTCATGCTTATCATTATGGTAAAAAACTAAAATCCGCTTCATATTATGCATATTTATTAATAGAATTCAATATGATTGTGAAAATT